GAGACAGAGAGTTCGCGCGGAAGACAACACGTTCGGCTCCCTGCTCCGCAGTGTTCACCAGCAGTACCCAGTCTGATCTGTCCTCGGTTTTCATGAAAATAAAGTTCATGATGTGAAAGTACACTGAAAACGCGTGTGACAGTACACTGAACACTGGGAAAGTGCGAAATAATTTGGGACCCTAAACTGCATGATTACCCTGGCGTGCTCTCTCAGATTCGGAGGAAAAGAACGACTCGCTCTTGAAAAGTGTTTCTACTTCATCCTTCTTAAGCAGAGTAAGATTGACAAAGAGCTCTCTCAAAGCTATTTCCCTATCTGTTCCTAAACCTCCACTGATTTGTTCATCACGATCCTTGACTGCATCACGCAATCGTGTCTGCGCTTTCAGGAGAGACGCTGGTAATGAGAGACCTTCCGCCATCGTCAGACCTCAAAGGAGTATCGATCGTGTCTTCATTCTCTACATAATTATTGCAGAAAGCACTGTCATAATCAGTGATCAACTATTTTTTTGCACCGATCCGAAGACGCACATGCATAATATGCGCATATCCGCCCGTCATCAATAATCATGGCATGCACACGCATCTTTTATCTGACATGGTCATTCATTGCGTCCTTCCCACATTTTACTGTATGTAGCGGACGAGGAAATCCAGGCGATTGACCGGGGCCGGCGCCCTCAGCACGTACAGAGCGCTGCGTGCAGCGCTCTTGTTGATCCGAGGCGACCAGCGCACTAGACCGCATACATGCATGTGTGTATATCCCTTATCCACGGCTGCATGGCATGGCCAGCGCCTTGGGGGCGCCGCTAGACGTGCAACCGGATTTCCATGTCCACAACAGTAGTATGCGGACCCTGAATGCTTGAGTGCTTTCATGGCATGTCGCCTTTGGAGAAACCTGGTGCGTGGTGGTGGTGTGCGGCCAATAGGAATAGGCGAGGTTTCACCACGTATAACTGGCAAGGTGATTTTATCCATCGCTGGAGAATCGGTCCAGGATTTGGCGGGCACTGTGCCGCTATGTGTCGGCCATGATTGTGGCAAAGAGGCTGCAGTTCATACGATTGCTTCGACTTTCGCCGATCCCGACACTGACGGGATGCTTTTGGCAGATGCATCGAATCCGTTTTAAAAATAGACTCAATCGCCAGGTTTGTGGGTTTGTCTACACAATACTCATCACCTGTGTCCCGTACTCGCGCTGTACTGGCGCATGGCACCGGTTCTCACCAACACCTAACGGGAGCCGTCGAATATGTACGTAGCGGGCGAGTGCATTCTTTCAGTGGAAGGTACAACCCAAGGTGATTCCTTGGCGATGCAATTGGTATGAATGGCACTTATTCAGCAGGCTGAGGGGGCTTGATCCCTCCAGCAGTGCCACTGTGGTATGCGGATGACTCTTCTCCGGCTAGCAGGCTTGCGCGATTGCCGCACTGGTGGGGTATACTCGCTGAGCATGGTCCCCGTTATGGCTACTACATGAATTCTAGTAAGTCGATCCTTGTCGTCAAGGACATCTGCCGGGAGGAGGCAGAGCTTTTGTTCGAGGGCACGGACATCGCTATTAACACTGATGGTTCAGGATACCTCGAAGCTGCAAAGTTCTGCTATTGCCCTTCTAGATATTGGTTGGTTGGTCTTTATTTCACTTCGCACATTCAAACGGGATGACGACCCAATAAAATGACGGCGAACGCTTAGCCTAGAAGTGGCTACGGAAGAACATAGCAAAAGCTATGGAAGCACATAGTAAGAGAATAGGATACTAATAACTGCGAATAAACGGGGGGGGGGGGGGAGAGAGAGAGTTTGCTCCCACACTGGAGCTCACGCTATTCCGCCGACTTGACTTGACACTTGACTGACTCACGACTGCCATCCACACGAGCACACGAGAAGTCCATCGGAGCTTCGACTCGGCAAACCTGCAAGAAAGCACCACTCCCTTCTCAATACACAGTGTTTCGGGGAATTCACCCTTCATCAGGTTCGATGGACTTCTCGTGTGCTCTGGATGGCAGTCGTGAGTCAGTCAAGTGTCAAGTCAAGTCGGCGGAATAGCGCGAGCTCCAGTGTGGGAGCAAACTCATTCCTAAAAAATCATCGCCGAAGTCGCAACCACTATTTCGTGGCCTTCCAGATGTTGACAGAACTCGTGAAACTGTTGCAGTGCACGAGTGGCTGCAGACAACACCGAAATAAAAGCAGAAGCGTGGTTATCACTACTTAGTAGTGGCTACCATGACCTGTGAAGAAAAGATTGGTGCGACTTCGGCGATACTTGGGTAATTGTGTGTTGCTCTCTACGTGCGACCTCGCGCTTTTCCTGCCGACTTGAATTCTCACTTGACTTACTCACGACTGCCATCCAGAGCAACCGAGGAGTCCACCGAACGTGCTACAATCAGAGAGTCTAAAGTGTAGGGTTAGCCGGTCATGATCATGCAACAAACTTTACTTACCAGAAGGAGAGGTGCACGACCTGCACGTAGTCCTGCGAATTCGGAGGTTTCCCTCTTCACAGCGCTCGCGCAGCCTAAGCGCGATAGCACCTTTATTGACGTCAACCTGGCTAGCATAAAGTCCAGAGCTCTTCTGAAATTAAAATCACTTTTCTCTTGTTCTTGACAGCTCAGAGTTTGCAGAATTTGCTTTCAATGTGCAACGTCAGACCTAAGTTATTTATTTCGCCAAACGGAGCATTGATCCGTCCCAGTGTTTCCCAGAGAAATTCGTTTGCTGTTGAAGTCTTACCAAGGTGTTTTGAATTTCAGACACTGTTTGAAGATGGCATCTAGAATAAAGTTGATGAGTAGTGACGGCGAGGTGTTCGACGTCGAAAATCAGGT